AATACAATATGGTAGTTTATTGTTTTACCTTACTGGTTCAAACTGGTTATATTGTCTTGTTTTCTTGTGTGTAATTTTTTCTTATTTGAATTGCAGGATGCTCTTAAACAATTATGGAGGCTGGCATATCCTAATAGGGAACTTCCATCTCTAAAATCAGAACTTTGGAAGGATATGGGTTAGCAAGGTTTAGATCCTTCAACAGATTTTCGGTATGTAGAGTGGTTGCCTGAAGCTGTTTCTATTTTTTTCTTTCCTTATTGTAATTGCAACGAACTACTGTGTTTTCTTCAATCTAGATCTTCTCTTCAAATAAACATGCAAAGCCCCCAGGTGGGTCCTCGAGGTAGACACTTTGATGATTAAGTCAATAATAATTTGGTCTACCTTAAGAAAAGATTATAAAAGAAGCTTTGGGTCGGTTTCAATTACCTTTTGGAGGTGACCCATGGGGGTATTTATAGGCCTTAATGAGGTGTCCACGTGGCTTGCTTAACGAGATAATTGAGGTCTGACGTGGTTAGGCGATGATCTCGAGAATGAGGGATTGGGTGCGGGCATGTGTACCATAGTTATCGTGCAATTGTGCAACTGGGAAGAGATGAACTTACACCGTATCTCATTCATTAAGAAATCGCCTTGCAGTACGTCCAAGATCATTGATCTCGGACCTATCCTTACACTATTCCCCCCCCCCCCAAAGTCATTCACTTGTGAATGATGCATCTAAAGGTGGTAAGGATTGTGTATAACTGTTTGAAAATACATGATAAAATATCATATAATGAAGGACATGATAAAATGCATGGTATGAAGTCATGCCATTATTGCGATAACTGAAGTAAAAATTCATGACACGTAGTCACATTATCATGGTCGTAGCCGAAGTGAGGATGCATGACTCGTAGTCATGTTTTTATGGTCATAGCTGAAGTGAAAATGCATGACATGTGGTCATGTTTGTATGGCCATAGCCAAAGTAAAAATGCATGACCCGTAGTCAGAGATAAAATACTTGCGGTGGTAGGAGACATTTGCGTAACCAGAAATATTTGGGTTGGGTTTAGTTGGGCCAATATACAAAGCCTGAAGAGGGAGTCAGTACATGATATGACAATTGTCCTTAAAGGACATGTGTAATAAATATGATTGCAAAAAGGAACTGTCACGTCTTTACCAAAACAATTGTCAAATTTGAAAGGGTTCCTTTAAGAATTAATCATTGAATTCAAAATGGTATAATTATGGCTGGCCGTTAGATGGAATTAATCACTACCGTTGAGACCAATACATGTATTAGTATATATAGCCAAACTTGTGTAAATATTTATTACTTTGTTGTATTTACTACCGAAGTGCTGCCAAAAGTTCAACAGAGCTAATTTGACATCTGAACTCCTACGTGTGGCATTTTTGGATTCAACGCCTAGTTCTGCATTACTGAGATCAAGTAACTTATGAGTTTTGTTGATTTTGACTCTAGTGAAGATTTTGATTCTCCTCTCACCTTTTTTGATTTAAAAGTGAGAGTGACATTGAACGTGAGTTAGAATTTATTGAAGATCTTAACTACATCCCTCATCCTACTTTAGGCAGTGAGAGTTACAAAACTGAAGATATGTCATCAGAGGAAACATTGAGTGTTGGGGGAATGAGGAAGTGAGGGCTCTCGAAGATATTGATATAGAGACTGAATCATCTAGGTTAGAGAGGATAGAGAAGGATATGGGTGGGGAAGAGCTTGGTGAAGGAGAGGGGGAGGGGATCCCTTCGAATATTTTAGAAGTTGGGGGTGGGGGGGGGATAGATGTTATGATATGGAAGCAAACATCATGTCTAAAGTAATGGGGTACGAGACTGAATGGCCGAGTAGGGAGAGCTTGATTCACATAGTTGAAATGTATGACCTCTAATCTCAAGTGTTGATTAGGCCGGCCGGAGTGGAGGAGAGGGCATGCTCGGCACCCCGGGATCATTGGATGCTCATGTATTCCCATTATTTATTGGCAAGGTTGAGGTTTCCTATCCTTGAACTCTTGGTTGGGTTATTGTTGGATTACAGTATAGGTTTAACACAACTAGCCGCAAATGCAATAAGGGCAGTGATAGGTTTGTTAGTTTATTACTGAACCCAGGGTGTTAGAGTGCCCACTGTAAATATGTTTAAATATTTCTTTGTCACAAAGGGTGGGAGTAAGAAGGAGAAAGGGTGGTACTACTTTACCCCTCGAGTGTCCAATATGGAAAAGAGAAATTTATTTAGTTCAAAGCCGTCATCCATTAAAAGATGGAAGGAAAAAATTTTTTTTGTTGATGACACTAAGTGGGGGAGGAGAGATGCAGAAGTGGAATTCTTGTCCATTCAGAAAGCAAAGAAAGCCAATTAGAATAAGTATAGTTTGAATAGGGATGAGGAGGAGGAGATAGAGAAGTTGATGAGAGAGGGAGATGATGTTGTAGACATCATGTATCTCACCAGCTTAGATGTTGTGGAGGTGGCTGAGCTCTATGAAGAAAGCTCTTTGAGTGAAGGTGTGTTTTATTTTGTATTATACAAGTTGAAGTGAAGCCCTGATAGCTGTTTTAACATTTTATAATTTTGCAACCGAGATAGACAAGTTCCTTTCTACAGCTGCGGAGTTGGCTATCCCTAAAAAGCCACAGAATAAGTCAAAGATTTCTGCAGCTACTGCCAGTTAAGGGGAAGTTGGAGACAAAGAAAAGGGGCAACCTTCTAGTACCTTAATCCGAACTCCAGATGCTAAGGAGCCGAGGCCAAAGCTCAACTAGAAGGGAAGTGAGGAAGCTGGGCTTGTTCAAAGGAGGATGAGGGTGGAAGAACATAAGGGTAGAGGGGATGAGATGGTGGAGTTCGTACCTCATCGTTCCCCAGTTGAGCTCGACCTAGAGCTCAGGGAGGTTGGGGTTATAACCCACAAAAAAAAAGAAAACCCTTGTTCTTGCTCCTTCGTAGCAAGCCAGTTTGTTTGACACAAAGAGCATAACAGCTGCGAAGAGGTTTATAAACTCAACGGTCCCTGAGGTGGATCATCGCTAAGCGAGGGAGGAAGTGCTAAGTCATGGTGGGGTTGGGATTGTTTAGCATGTCCTTGAGGTATGGTTGGGTTTCATAACCAGAGTTTCTTCTTCTATTCGCTTATTTTTTCAGTTTCTAATTGTTGTGGATATTGCAGGCTATAAACTTGGTGAATGGGCTATTGTAGGAAGTTTTTGAAACCCTCAAGGAACGTGGTACCTTGGCAAAGGAAAATGAGGATTTGGGGAAGAAGAAGGAGGAGGTAGAGAAGGATTTAGCAGAGGCTATGCTAGAGCTCATGCAGCTTTAGGAGGAAAATGATTCATTGAAGACGAAGCTCGCGATTGAGGAGAAGAGGAAAATATGTGAGGAGAAGATAGAAGCTCAAGAGAAGGAGATCAAGAAAATGAAGGAGGTAGGTGCCGAGTTAAAGAAAAATGTGGATCTGCTAGTGCACAGTTCAATGAAGGATCACATTGTTGAGTTTCTGAAGTCCACCACATTCAATAACATTGTGAATCTCTACCACCTTCCTATGGCAATTTTGGCCTTCATAGACTATAGGAAGAAAGTGAAAGCTCAATATCCCAAAGTGGATGTGACTGGTATCACCTTTGGACAATAAGAAGGAGTGGAGGAGAATGGTGAGAGTAGGATGGCTGACTTCTGTCCCAAGGTCAAGCTGAAATGGGATCATGATAATGAAGGTCGTATCATCTTTCCTCCGAACTTTGATTTCGAGTTCGTTGCAATTGAGGAAGGGGCAGAGGTTGGAGTTGCGGAGGTTGGAGAGAATGTGTCAAAGGAAGAAGGGAACCAAGAAGAAGTGAACCAACCAACTCCACCAATAGAGTAGCTATCCTTTGTTTTATTAATCTCTTTCTTTAGCTTTGACCTTTGAACAATGTATTTGTTTTTTTTTTTACTATTCTTGTAATTTTCGCACATTAATTCATTGATATTTTTGTGCACTTGGTTTGTGTGAAAAAAGGGCTGAAGTGAAGAAATTAAATCACCTCGAATATGAAGTGAAATTCCCATTAATGGAATATAAGTTCAAAAGCTGATTTGAGCAAAAAATTCATCTTGGACAGAAGAATTAAAAAAAGTGAAGTAGAATTAGACAAAATTCACAAAAGAGATTGAATCAAGGGTACAAATTCTTAAGATTGTTGACATTCCAAACTCTAGGAACTCTTTTTCCTTCAGCGTCTTGGAGAATATAAGCACCTAGGTGTGGTACTTCAATCACTGTGTAAAGACCTTCCCAGTTCGAGGCTAATTTTCCAAATCATGTTTCAAATCTTGTGAGACTAGCTTTTCTAAGAATGAGGTCGCCAACTTGGAATGTTCGAAGGTGAACTTGTTTGTTGTAGAAGTTGGTTAACTTCTACTTGTTTGACAAAGTTTGAAGTTAGGCTTCCTCTTTGACTTTGGCAAGCAAATCAAGGTTTTACTAAAGCAGTTGTCCATTTCATCCTTCATCGAAATCGGTGACCCTGAAGCTTAGGACTCTTATCTTAATAGGAATGAGTGCTTCAATACCCAAGGCTAGGTGGTATGGTGTTTCACCTATTTGATGGAGTTATCATTTTAGTATATGCTTTATGTATTTTGTATGCTTTTTAACTAAAATTGAAGCAACAGGAAATACAATAAAGGAACATGGAAGTAGATGAGGTCCGAGAATGGAAGTTGTGGCAGTTTAGCTTGTAGTTCTGTATGCCCATAGCACATTATTGAGCTTGTCTGCTCACCTAGCCTTAAGTTGGTCCAACCTCGGTTTTATTCCTTCAAGAATAGCTTTGTTAATTGATTCCACCAGTTCGTTAGACTCTGGGTGGTATATTGAGGTAAATTAAAGTTTGATTCCGTAACTAGAGCAAAAGTCTCTAAATGAGGTACAGTTAAACTGAGTTCCATCATCAGCAACAATTTGATTGGGGATCCCGTATCTGTAGGTAATTAAATTGAAAATGAAGTCTTTAACCTTTTTTGAGGCAAGACTGGATAGTGGCTAAGCTTTAACCCATTTTGTGAAGTAATCCACACCAACTACTAAGTGTGTTACTCTTCCAACTCCTTTCACAAATGGGTCTAAGAGATCAAGTCCCCACTATGCAAATGGCCATGGTGCCACCAGGTTTATAAGCTCCTTTGC